AGCATTCAATATTCAATTCGGTCTCTTATTGACCCCTGCTATTGTCACGCTATAGGGCTTGGTATACCAAATACAAGCATTCCAGACAAGGAAGATTACATGACACGTGAGGCAATGCCTGCATCCCTGCCTGCAGTAACTGTTAGCCCTTATCCACTGAATGTGCCATATTTAACTGAAATTTATATGCAATGCATCTTGGAAAAGAGGATGTCTCACGCACACATTTCTAGGTTGATCAATATTTCCCTGGACTATAAAATGATATGTTAAGGTGGCGGTTAACTCTTATAACCTGTAAGTATGCGACAATTCAAAGTGCATTTCCATGTTGGCAATATACACAGTTGCTTTATTTATGCACTTTCTGAATATCTGGATATCTCTGGAATAGATACTACAACAAGAGAAAGTGTAGGTTTTTAAATCAAGCACCTAAGCAAGTCTTGGGGGCAAAATATCTGCTTCCTGAAATTGTCAAAAAAATTGATAAACACGCACTTTTAGCGTTATTTGTATTTGTGGCGACATACATGTGTTTGCAAAGCACGCTTACAGAAATAGTTACGTACAAAAGACGCATAATACGACAAAATGCACTACATAAAATCTGACGCACTGACCGCACTTTGTGACGCACCGGGACTATAATACGTTGCCGCAATGTGCAGAGACTATAGAATGTGTTCGTGTTGGTTTTACATGGATACAACGCCCCATACGTGAGATATTTTGTCCCCAAGCGTTACCGCACTGAAACACGATGCGACTAAGAATACATTAATCTGTTACCATGCTGTGTATGTTAGCTCTATACTAGGTAATAGGTCAACGAATATTTGTGGTCATGTAGTTTTGAGAGTACAGCTGTGTGGCAAACCTGAACCGCCACCTTAAGAAGGTTTGAAATAAGGTTTCTAAGAGACATGCTATGAAGACACCCTGTAGTCACGCTTTATGACTTGGTATGCCATTTAGCACTATAACAGACAAGCACATTACACGACAGGTGAGGCAATTCCTGCATCCCTGTAGGCTCTCTAGGATGCTCACTTCGTCACAACTATCTGCTGCCACACAAAACTCGGCAATGTCCTCTAATGGCTCTCAATGTCAGGTGCGACATTTGTAGTTGCAACTCACTTTTACAGCAAATGAAGTTATACATCTGTTTATGCAAGTGGACATGGACTCAGAACTCACAGCGTGAATATAAGTATAAAACATAAAATATAAGTATAATTATAACAAACCTCTGAATGGTCTGCGTAGCAATGAGAAATGACATAAGATTTCCTGGACTGATTTGATTATTAGCCAGTAGCAGTCCTCCATAGGAGAGTACCACAAGAGCAACACCTACACACAAAAAACATTGTCTATACGCTGTCATGAATAACTATCAACGCATGTGTGGCGAGCTAGCGCGAGTGTGGACAAGCATGACCGTAATGAGGACAGCACACAACCTGTTGTTCTATATTCCAGAAGGGCGTAGATGCTCTTGATGGTTTCCGGTTTGTCGCGCGTAGTGGCAGAAAACGTCGTAACAGACAGACAGACGGACACACACACACACAGACCAAGCACTATAACCCTCACTGCGGCATGTGCGCCGAGGGTGGTAGCCAAATATGATCCAAAGTTCTTAATCCAAGTTCGCTGGAGGTAGGGCAGCCACAGCAACTGAAGTGAATGCTTACGAACACCAACGCCCAACCAAGGAGCTTAACGAAGAGATATCCGAGCTCAACAGGTGCATACAAACCAAGGAACAGAGACTTGAGCAGGACACTGCAAGTCGCAATTTCTAAGTGTGCGATATTTAGCTACTGAAATTTCAGAGCTAACATACTAGCTCAACACTGAGTTGGTTGGGTTGCAACAGAAGTCCAAGTAAGCAGCTGAGTACCAAAACAGAAAGAAGAAATTCCACACTCTAGAATAGGAGAGTGGTGACAACACTGCTCAGTCTAATGAGCCAAATTTACCCAACAGCCTCCCTACACCACCCATGTACGGAGGCCTGTTCATGAACATGTTGTAGTTTACAAAGAGCAGTTTATGAAAAAATTGCACAACACACAAAATTAATTCAAAGACAAAACATTGAATAGCGTACAGAGCCAATTATGGAACAGTACCCATTATCAAACGCTCGCGAGACCTGCGAGGGCTACGTAAGTATACGGCGGAAAACGGAGATATACAAACATTTCACGCGGGCCAGTTCATCTCTCTTTCTCGGAGGTTTATGCGGATAAAAACTCACCCAGTAAGGCGTTTTTACATCTCTCTATCAACATAGAATAGCTGTATTTTGTCCCGCCAGGTATCTTGGTTCGTCTGGATTGTGCTATGCCGCGCAAGAGGTGCTCTTTTGCCAAGAGAAAGGGCTCAAAGTCTGCGCCTGCCAGTCTTCGTTGCGTGTGTAACAATCGACCTAAAAAGCGAAAAGGCTGGCTGGAGGAGTCTATGACAACTGCCATTAAAGCTGTTCAAGAGGGACGGTCAATTTCCCAGGCCGCTCGTGACCATGGAGTGCCCAAGACCACGTTGTACGATAGGGTCAGTGGTAGAGTAACGCATGGCAAAAATCTTGGCCCCAAACCTTACCTTAATAACCAAGAGGAAGAGGAGCTTCGCACACACCTGAAGCACTGTGCAAGGGTTGGGTATGGTAAGATGAGAAGAGATGTTTTATCCATTGTTGAGACTGCGGCCTTGGAGAAAGGTGTATTGTGATCGAGTCGAATATCACAGGGATGGTGGCGTTGATTCCTTGAGCGGCAGAGGGATCTGTCACTTGGTCAAGGAGACACAACAGCACACGTGCGCATGAAGGCCATGAACAGGGAGACTATCGACCATTATTTCTCCCTTCTACATGATACATTGTCTACCAATCAATCGCTCGACAAGCCGGCACAGATCTACAATGTAGACGAGAGTGGAGTGCCGTTTAATCCTCGACCTCCAAAAGTTGTCTCTCCAAAAGGGCGATATATGAAAAAGGGTAGATACCGGTGTTCTGGGTGCAAAGGTCAAATAACCATTGTTGCATGTGCAAATGCAGCAGGGCATGCAATCCCACCCAATGGTTATTTTCAATGTGTTTAAACTCAACTCAACATGGACCAAGGGAGAGGTCGTGGGCACGAAGTACGGTTTGAGTGCCAATGGGTGGATCAACACTGACTTGTTCGGGGCGTGGCTTATCGAACATTTCATTCCTAATGCCGTCTCCTCGCGTCCTCTTTTTCTTCTCTTAGATGCTCACAGCACCCATTATCAGCCGCAAGTAATCATATTCACCAGGGAACAAGAGTGTATAATACTCAGCCTGCCTCCGCACACGACACACGAGTCACAGCCATTGGATGTTGGCGTCTTTGCTCCTCTCAAGGTCCATTGGAGAAGGGTTTGCCACGATTTCTACCAAAACCAAAATAATCCGGGGAAGATCATCAACAAGTTCAACTTCAGCTCCCTATTTTCCCAAGCATGGTAAGGGGCTGTCACTCCCATTAATATAATAGCTGGGTTCCGTAACGCTGGAGTGTTTCAGAAGCAGTTACAATTTCGGCAAATTCTGACAACACGACCGAACCACAATGTGCGGAAGACAGGGAAACATCTCCATTGGTGTCACCAAACAGCCCAGCTGTAGAGATAGTTCCCGGAACCTCAGATGATGGGACTACAGAGGCTGACGGTGGTGACCCCCACACTCCCAAGACAGCCGCTACACAAATCGATGCACACTCACAACTGCCGTTAGTGATGTACGCACTCCTGAGACAAACAAAAATGCAGAGACCTCTGTGACTGACCCTGGTAGTGTGCCTGGACCCTCCTCCTCACATGAACAGCAGCGTCGATTTCAACTTCAATATGAGGAAGGTTTTGATGTGCCTGGAGATATGGACTATATCCGTTGGCTCCGCCTTAACCACCCTGATTCCCCACTTCTGAGTCGTCCAACAGAGGCACAAACTAGTGCGCCATCAGGTGAATCCCTTTTTTGTCACTTTTCAGACCTTGCTGTGCTTGATGAGATTCCTGTTGCTTCCGCTCCATCTGAAACCACAAAAACGGCTCCATCCGCTTCAACAATTTCTAAGTTTCTTATCCCTCCTATGTGTCAACTCCTTCCAGACGAAAGGGAGAGCTGCCGCGAGCTCGTCTGTTAACTAGTGCCACACCCTTTGAGATGCTAAAAGAGAAGGAAAGGAAGAAGCAAGAGGAAGCTGAGATGAAAGGAAAAAAAGAGGAAGGAGAGGGAGGAAATGAAGAAGAGGAAGGAAGAAGAGCAAAGGAAAAAAGCTGAAGAGCGAACGAGAAAGCAGGAACAAAGAGCAAAACAGTAAGTCGAGAAAGAAGCACAGAGGGGCGAAGAAGGCAAAGGGAAAGCAACCTGCATCTGTTGGAGCAAAGAGATGTCCCAACATTCGAAGTGCTACACCATCAACATTTCCACGAATGGAAAGTTCCTCGAGTGAAAAGGTCAATGACAACAAATGCTGTGTGTGCTTTGTTTTGTACGAAGATGATCAATCTGGGAAGGATTGGGTGGCCTGCGCATGTGGAAGGTGGCTTCATGAGGACTGTGCAGATGACTGCGCAATAGACAGTGATGGAAACGAGCGTCTCTGTCTTATGTCTGAATCACCTGTAAGCTTTGTCACTTCTCATTTCTTCAGTCCTTCCTATCGAATTTGGTTTTTTGTTTGATTTGTTCTTACTGAGCACGTTTATAATTGCTGAATATAATGGCGAATACGTAGCTACATACATAAGGAGTGTTACAGTGCTGTAGCTGTACAAAGGTAAACTATGTGTGTTTGAGTAGGTGGGGTTTTCCCCCAGTGTTCGATAATTCCTGATGCGCGAATGTATGCGCGGTCGGCGATCGGTATCAGCGTTCGATAAACGGTACCGCAACATTGCCAACGGCAAAGAGCTGCGCTCTAAATGGAAAACCAATATACGTACAGACCTTTGCGAGTCGTGTAGAGCATGGATTAGGGTTTGCAACGGTACCAGAACTGAATTCGGGGCATGTTCCTGGACTGAGCTACAAGCGCAGGTACACAACTCGTTCGATAATTGGCTCCGTACGCTACGTTCAAGCCAGAACAGATTACTGTCAGAATACTGTTAATAACTGTGAGGAATTCCCTGCAACTACTCTGTGATATCGCCTCAGAATTCACTAGCTCCGAATTTTGAATTTTGGCACGTCCGAACCAAACCCTACCATCCGGCTTCAAACGGCCTGGTGGAGAGGGCTGTAAAGTCGTTCAAGGAAGGGTTCAAACACCTTCAGAGAGGATCTATCAACACGGGCATATCTCGATTCCTCTTCAAGTACTGTTTAACTCATCTACCAGGGTTCTTCGGCGGAACATATGTTTTACAGAAACAGCACTTTTGAGTGTGTATGTGTCGTTTGAATAAGTGAACCAAGCCATGGTAGCAACAGCAGAAGCTGCACTTTTCTTTGTCTTTTGTTAGTATTTTATGTTCATCAGTAGCATGCACACCTATCACAGGCACTGTTTGTGGACAGGCATATCATTATATTACCCACAAACACGTTCTGGTTATACTGTATAGAAATTTTACGAACGCACCATTCACTGTAATATTCGAGAGAGCCTGGAATGCGGCAATTCCAAAACCGAGTCTCTCGTTGTAGCTCTGAGAGGTCCTCAGATCCCTGGAGTACAGGTCCACCTCATAGTCCTCCATGGCAAATGCCCGCACTGTTCTCACATTGCTCAGAGCCTCCTGTGCAACACACGTAGATACAGCAACCTGCGGTGGTGGAATACAGATAGAGAAACAGCAATAGCACAAAGTAATGCTGAAGGTATAAAGCAGAGACGCAAGACAGGGATGACATAGTGAATACATCCGTTTGTATCCAAGTAATTTGCGAGCTGTTAAGTATGGAGTATCGTATAGAGGATTATGGCTACAGTTGAAACTGACATTGCTGGCTCCTGACAGACAAAGTGACACCAATCAGTCTCATGTTCTGTTGTTGGTTGGTACCTCCTTCAGGCAAACAGGACCAGACAAAGATAAAGGGATGGCCTCATGTACCATCTTATCTGTGTAATGACCCCTTGACCTTTTCTTTTGTCATGTTTTTAGCCATCTCTTTTTCCCCCTTCAAGAAATGCTATTTTACCGTTGTACATAAAGTATTCAGTGATATACAACACAATATACATACATTATGTGACTAACAGTAATCACCTGTTGTTGTGCCTGTCGTGACCATTGTCTCAAGGTGGCACCAATTAGAGAGCCGACTCCAATGACGACAGGGAGGGCCACAGCCACCACCCCTGCCATCTGGGGAGATATCAGGTAGAGGGACACGAAACAGCCCAGAGTCTGGGTGGTGCTTCGCAGACCCTGGCTGATCACCATCTTGAAGGAGCTCTTGAAATCTTGTACATCTGCCGTCAGTCTGCAGGACAACATAATCCATCACATGCAGGGGTGGAGGGGGGGCTAAAAGTTGCAGCAGTGGAAGCAGAAAAACTTTAGCAGACTTCATTAATGCACTAGAAAGTGTATGGCAGTGTTTTAGCACCAACTGCGACATGAAAAAAAAACTTTGATTGATGTGTCAACCTACGAAATGCTTTATGAAAACAATACCAACCTTCCAGTGAGGAACTTGGTCGTTTACTGACATGATGATGACGAAGTAAAAAAATGCCAGATTATTGCATATGCTTGAATATTCTTGCCAAGTTCCTAGTATTGTATCCACTGCTATTCTCCTTACAATTTTCATATTTCAAATTTACACCTGCAAACACTGATTCACACCCCTCCCACTAGTGAAAAATATTACCAGGATTGCGTTCACGGACACTTTACTTTCTAACCTACGGTTGCATACAATGTTGGGATCCCTGTCCTGTGTCATGAAAAAGCTTGTGCTGCAGCACAAACTTCTTCATGACACAGGACAGGGATCCCAACATCGTATGCAACCGTAGGTTTGAAAGTAAAGTGTCTGTGAACACAATCCTGGTAATATTTTTCACTAGTGGGAGGGGTGTGAAACAGCCCACAACCATGCAAGCCAGTTAGTATATATACAAGCCAGCAATGGAAGCATACCACGATGGCACAACTTCAGTGACTTGCATGAAACAGATGTTACATCACAATGCCATGCGACAGTGTGACTATGTGACAAAAGCTACACTTCGTATGAGTGACATATTGACATTCCTAAGTGTGACACGTAAGTGCATATGTAGCCACACAAGCGTAAACAATTGATCATCTTCATGTAAATATTCTCGGCAATAAATAAGTGTATACCTGTTGACCAGTTCCCCTGTTCTGTGGGTGTCAAAGAAGGAGATGTGGCTCTGTAGCAGAGAGTGGAAGAGAGAGGTCCTCAGTCTGACAGACAACCTCTCTCCCAGGTGGGACAGGAACGAGATGTAGAGGAACGTGAAACATCCCTGTGGCAGTGCAGCAGACGACACGGTTTATACCTAACGTTAGTTTAGTTTTAGTATACTTAACGCACTATCATTGCACAGTTATTAGGAATTCAGTAAAAGATACTACTGTATAGCGGGAAAAGTATCGAGGGAGGAAACTTGTGCATTTTAGTTTTTTGTAGATTGTCAGTGTTTCCAACAGCATTATAACTACCGGCCGCTCCGCCCGGATTGAAAAATGCCGAAAATGGGCGTGTAGAATTATTGCGCATGTGTAAAATGCAACTAGCGTGATTACACTGTGTGCAGTGAAGCTCTGCTTATAGAGTAGCACTTGAAAGGCTTTAGGCCAGTAGGGTATTTCCCAACAGGTAGTGCTTTGAAAGGTGGAGTAGCAAGTAATATTATTTTGCAGCCAGACAGCTGAGGTAATTGAATACAAGGAATGTGCACGCGCATATTTTGCCTCGTGCCTGCCAGCCAATGCGTAAACAGTCCGACTGAGGCCGCTCGTGCACGCGCTCTACTGACTGCATGCGAAGCCAGACTTCCTACGAATCTGCGCGCACGGCGGAAGCTAGTCTTCCTACGAATGACGGAAGTTACAATTCATTTTGGTGACTAATTGACATTCCTAAGCGTGACTAATTGACGACGTACGTACGTACGCATATCGCGAGAATACAACCCGGAGTAGTTGCCTCGCGCTAATGGGCTCGGCAATTACCCTGCGGGAAACACTGATTGTGCATGGTAAATTTTCACCGATAGCTGGTTCTGAAGCTCAAATGAACCATCTGCAAATTTTACAGAGAAAACCACCATGTTCGTGAACAGATATGGGGTTCACCTCACTCAGAGACGCAATAGGAATGAGAACACCTCCGAATGTGTCCCACTGAAGGCATGGTATACGACATACCTGAGTGAGGTAGAGGGCACATAGGTGAAGAGCTGGTAGTGACAGTCTCTCCAGGTAGGTCCCCAGACTGCCTCCAGGAGTGAAGCCAGCCACCACATTCACCAGCCTCCCCATCTCCAGTGGGATCTGTATGTTGAGCACCGATACCACCAGAGCTGCCTGCGGGGGAGCAATATAACCAACATCAATATTATACTGCACAACATAATTAATGCACACAATGTGCAAAAGCCAAAACACCAATACCTTTGAATCACTCTACGTGATGTTCTTACACCTACATGGTCAAGTGTGCCAGGCATATAATATAGTACATACGGTGAATGACACTAGTGGGCTAGCGGCACTCAAATGAGCGTAGCCTCTGGTCTTTCCATCACACAGGTATGCTGTATAGAATAAGCAGACCCGAGACTACACCAAGCCAATATACCACCGCTTAGCTTATACCACAGCCTCTTAGAATATTAGAGTTGATGGGCCATAGGGTTTTGGATTGAAGATGACAGAGTGTGTCAGGAGACAGGTACAGGTGAAATATACATCAATGATGTGAGAAACTTTTTTGGTTTCAAACTAGCTACCCTTCCATCATAATTTTATGTCATCACTTCTAGTGAGTCTAAGTAGCTATGAGCTATAACTAAACACTCACACATGTTAATTGGTTAGCAAAGCGCGCCTGCCTAGTAATCTGAATGCTGCTTGATTTGCATCCATGGTATCTACTAGCCCGTGTCAGACTCTCCGCGAGCTACCAGTGGGAGACCATGAGTAAACGCATGCCAATAGCCTAGCTGGTATCGCGCATGCGCAGTTCGCCGAGGGTTTGCACTTTAGTATATTGCAATCTTTGTCGCGTGAATTGCTGCACACATACATATACAATGCACCTGTGAGTCTCGTGTTCGCTTGCCAAGAATGTGTCCAATTCCTTCTAGCACTAATAGAAAAGCGGCCAACAATAGGACACACTCCCATTAGGTGCTAGAGTTCTGTAATCGTCACAGTTGGCGTGGTGTCCTACTGATGGTGTATATATGGTCCATGGCTCCAGTACAACAACTACAACTATACAAATATAAATAGCAAATACTATTGTAAAGAATGCGCAGTGCCAACAACGTACATAATCGAAAAATCCGCCATTTAGACAGGTGGGCTAGCCAACAGCTAATTGATGGCGTAATGATCCTGAGTGCATGGTGTAGATACAATAGCAGGTACACAGCACTATCATGACACACTCACTGCAATGGCCAGGAGAAGCCACAGCCATTCAGGAGAGAGGTACTCAAGAAACTTTGACCAATCAAAGGTAGTGTTCATCTGGCTGTGTTCCAGAGTCAGCATCAGGTTCTGTGAGGAGGTGTGGTACTTGTGTTTGCAGAGGGCAGGTCTGAGGAGGTGGGGCAGGGATAGTCCGGCCGGGACCAGGACACCCAGCCTCAGAATGGAGCGCTGCTTCCCACACCATCCCAACACCTGCACATGTTTGGGGAGTTCACTCTCTAAGGTTGTAGATTGGACTCTGTCGTATATACTGGTATTTATAACACAATTTGAAGTGGTTGAAATATTTTTTTCATGCCAAAGTATGTAGTCATGATGGTGATGGTCCTAACACACAGTTTACTAGAAGAGGGTGCACCGGGAGGGTTACAATTCAGGGAAGCAGATGGTCAATATTATTTTATGCACTGGGGACCACTGCCTAGCTCGCAATAAATACTGAGCTACCCAAACCTTTAGTTGTTCATAGCACCTCCGAAACATTTTGGGCATTATGTCTCAATGGAACTTATCCTTTCACCCTTGTCCTACACATTGTGGGCACATATACCTCTTACTTATACTTTCACCCTTGTGATTCATAGCTACCTCTGCCCTCTGTTCAAGCAATAACAGTGAGGTCCATCCTGGCTCACAGATAATCCCACAGAAGGTATAAACGAACCTTCTCCCTAGGGGCACCCCCACATCGAAAACAAAAGATAATGCCTCCCTAGAATCAACGAATAATTAATAAAGATTAGCTAGCTGACTCAGCAAATAACCTCATCATGTCCAACTCCTGCTATTATACGTTGGGAGGTGTGGTCTCAATCAGCTCACCTGACATCCGAGACGTATTTGCATCCAGGTGCAGTTCCGTCTCCACACGACTTGCGTCCAGGGACCGAACAAACTCACTTTTGTGCAGAGGAAACCAGCCATGACTTGCTCTTGCTAAAGTAGGCGTGGTGCGTGCGCTCAGCGCGCGCGCTGAATCTACCGCATTTTAAATCGCTGCAGAGTCCATCATCAAGGATTAGCACAGTATTATATCTCTTTCACAAGTACTTATACGCAATTTGTAATCTACTGTCACATACTAGCACACAACCAGTAGCTACATGTTTACAAAGCTCAGCTGAGTAATAATAGAAACTTCTGTTCCTGAGACATGAAGCGATAGTAAGGGATTTTCTACCGTCGTTTCCATTTGTTGCCTCTGAATATTGTGGACACACACACAAAAAGTGATATGTGCCTTCAATTATGTCACAGTCTGTACATGGTCGATCCGTTACAGGGAGAGGCCTGAGCTTATGGAACCTTCCATTATATATACCTCAATTGGCAGTGAATGTGAGCTGGTACGTAATGTTGCCATGGCTGTGCGATACTTAGGTTGATGGATATTTAGAAGGTAAGGAATATACGGTACCAGTCCAAAAAATATGCACCGTAGTTGTGTTACAACTCCAAAACTTAAAGGTGTTGCTATTGTATTGTACTCAGTGCTTGCATGAAGT